CTGTTATTCTATGTTCTATCCAGGAAAGAGAAACACCACCCTTTCCTAAGCCTCTTTCTCAATCTGCTCTTACAACAGGAAGTTTTTCTTACCCTCAACTAAAATCTTCCTTCATGTAATTTAAATATTTTTACAGCACATCTTGTCCCAAATTACAAGCAACAGGTCTTTGCTTTCTTTGTGTGACAACCCTTAAGATATTTGAAGAGGGTGATTATGATTGCATTATGACTTTTTGTCACAAAGTTAAACATACCCAATTTCCACAAGCTCTTCTTATAAGAGTCCAATTCCCTGAGCACCCACACTTACTGTACTTTACTTTAGGCGGCACCTGAGCTGTGCAGACTAGAACAGAAGGCAGCTATTGTTTTATATTGAAACGGTAATACCAATATTTGATGCAATCTAAATTTGATTTTGCCCCTTGGAACAGGCAACTATTTGCAGGCCCTGCCATTCCTTAAGACAATGTTTGCCTTCCCCCTTCCAAAAAAGGTTTCTCAGACCCCATCTGTAATTTTAGCATTCAAGAAGTGCTATCCTGAACTGTAATATTAATTCAAACTGTACACAATATGTAAGGACTTATAGGAAGTTTTAAAAAACTTTCAACCATGCAACAGATATTTTCTTCCTTGCAGATTGGAAACAGGCCTGATTGTCCATTTAAAAACAATCCCAAAAGTAGCTCGTCTTGAATTTAAATTAACTTCCCAAATTAAAAAAGGGAAGGGAATTTTTTTCCATCTGCTCTTCCTGTTAAGCCTGATCAGTTTTATCCCTCCAGCAGAAAAGTCAAAACTGAAAACAGTCTGCAATTTCACAGGAATGCATACAGTACAATAATTTAAGGACTCCTGGCTATCACCTTTTCTTGGATGTTCCAATAACAAGCCTTGGAAGAGTTTCCTTTAAAAGCAGATATTTACTTACAAAACTCTGGATCTAGAAAATCTGAATGACCTTCCCACACAATATATCATTATTAGATTTTTATCCTACCTTTTTTAAATATATGTTTTGGTCATCTCAAGGCTGTGACCATTCCTAATATGTCTGTTTTCCCCACAACAATCCTGCGAGGGGGGCTGGGTTGAGAGGGTATGACAGGACCCACAGTTAGTCGGTTTTCATGCTTAAAGAAGGCCTAAATCTCCACGTCTTCTCATTTCTAGACCAGAATTTTGAATACTACACCAAAGTGGCTCTCCATTTTTAAAAATAGTTTATATTCTTTACTGTTTGTATAAATTTGCCTTCAGAAATTGTGGGCCCTCCATCACTGGAAGTTTTTAAGAAGAGACTAGACAATCACTTAGAATAGGGGGTCAAATTATTCTACAAAGTACCAGAGGGCAGGCCAAGAAACAGTGGTTGGAAACTAATCAGAGAGAGAAGCAACCTGAATTTAAGGAGAAACTTCCCAACAGTGAGGACAATTAACCAGTGGAACAGCCTGCCACCAGAAATTGTGGGCCCTCCATCACTGGAGGTTTTTAAGAAGAGTCTAGTCACTTGTCTGAAATAGTATAGTTCTTCTATGTGAGCAGGGGGCTGGAATAGAAGATCTCGGAGATCCCTTCCAGCTCTATTCTATTCTATTCTATTCTAAATGTAATATATGCATATAAATTGCATGTGCATATAAAAGATTTGTATCAAAATATTTTACAATCTTTGTATGTCAAGTAGCTTCTTTTCCTACCCCAAAGCAGTCAAGTCTGATAGAAACAGAGGATCAGGCTATTTGGAGCTATTTGCCCCTAGAAGGATCACCACCAGACAGGACTTTCGCTTTCGTTTACATCGTCCAAATCCATTTAGAAAGTGAGAGGAAATTCCAAATTTACTTTCACATCACTCACCATTTTCGTAATATTGGATACAATTGCTTTACTTAAGAGACAACAAAAAGGGGGGAACTACAGGCAGTCCTTAACTTACAACTATTCGTTTAGTGACCAAAGTTACAACAGCACTGAAAAAAGTGACATGTTTTTCACACTTGCAACTGTAGCAACATAGCCAAGGTCATGTGATCAAAATTGAGGCACTTGGCACTGGCATATTGTGACCCACAGCATCACCAAGAGCCTGATGCAATTGAATGGATATCATCATCATCACAATTGCAGTGTTCCAGGGTCCTGTGATCACCTTTTCAGACCTTCTTGCAAGCAAAGTCAATCGGGAAGCCAGATTCACTTAACAACCATGTTATTAACTTAATAACTGCAGTGATTCGCTTAATTATAGCAAGAAAGGCCATAAAATGAGGCATAATTCACAATATAACATATAGCATATAACAATATAATTCACTATATTCTTTGCAATGGAAATTTTGGGCTCAATTGTTTTTGTAACATTAAAAATATTAAAAATATTTGTCTTCTGGTCTACATTTGTTAGACATTTTTTATTTGTATCCTGCCTTTATTATTTTTACAAATAATTCAAGACAATGGATATATCCCACACAAATGGGGGGAGGGGTATTTTCCCTACAACATCCCTGCGAGATGGGTCAGATTCTAAGTTTTAGTCTTCTCAATTGTTTTTGTTTACTTGTAGTCTTCATTTTAGTTTTAAATGTGTACATTTTCATATTTAATATTCTGTAAATTGCCTTGAGTTTGTTAAATGTTAAAAAATCTCATATTTTAAAATTTATGTTAACACCAAAGAAAGCAATAAAAATCAACATCAGAGACAGATGCTACAGAGAGAACAGAACACCTAATGTTGGCAAATTAGCAGGGGAAAAGAAAGATAGAGGGACTGCAGGGAAAAATTCATGTCTTAAAAAATGCTTTTAACGTTATTATTTTGAGTAATTTTCTCACGCTAACAGAAGGAAAAAATGTATATCCCTCACATATAAATTTGCTTTCTCCACAGGACCTTGAAGGGAGAAAAGGAGAAATGTTTTGCTATCTAAAAGAGTCCGGTTTTAAAACTATTCCCTAATAAGCCCATCATCTCAGCCAATCAGAGCCAAGATTAACGAAGCAGCTCAAAGAGTGAGTGAAAACAGATAAATGTTTTTATGCTTTGCAACAGCTGGCTACAACAATGTTTGCTGATTTTCTTTAACTATCTTATTTCCGGACCAGCAAAATTCCACTCCACTCTTCAAAGCACAAAAGGCAGGAGGGAGGTGATAAACAGGATCCATTCAAAGAAAATAGTCATCACTTTGTATACAAATTCCAGAAGGATCAAAGCACAGTTGAAGAGTCCAAATGAAAAAAAGATCTTTATAGATACCTAGAGGTCCTCTGGCACCGTTCCATCAAAAATCTCAAAAAGTCTCAGCAAGCACAATAGGTTTTCAACACATTATCATTGTTAACTATTAGATACCTGTTATCCGGCTCATAACTATCCTCTCTTCCCTTTCCAGCCTCATCCCAATTTAAACCTACATCAAGCATCTCATGTAGTAAGCTGCAGCTATTGCTCTTTGAAAGCTTTCACATTACCTCTGCCTGAATGCTGATGTACACATCTGACTTACCTTGTGACTTGTAAAGACTGAAACTCTGTACAAGGGGGGGGGAATCTTCCATCTGCACTAAAGACTTTTTTATACTAAGCATTTACTTTGCATTTCAGACATTTGCTGTATTTCACGGCAACTAGCTAGCCTTGCAATAAATGAAAATACTAAGCACTGTAACTGAATATATCCCCCTAAAATCCTTTTATCACCACCAAACATACGCATTTAAAGAAATGAATATTATTATAAAACCCTTCGATGCAATCTCAACAGGAAATTGAAACGTTAAGAATCTTATAGCTATATCAAACATTCTTTTGACAAAAGGGATACGGGGGAGGGAGAAATATATAAATATATATATAAATATATAAGCTTCTTGAGATGCTGCTAAGAGCCCAGAGATACTGAAAGTATTTGCTCTCACCGGCGTCCCCATCCCTCCTCCAGCTGTCATCCCCTGGGCCCTTCAGAAGCCTCAGTAGGAAAAAGGAGCCGGCGAGATTCCCCTCTTTTCGTTTCCTTCCTCTCGAGTAGGAGGGAATCCAGTTTCCTTCCGCCCACTCTCGCCTTCCAGAGAGCTCAGAAAAGCCTGAACTTTCGTGGGGGGGAAAAAGAGCCAGGAAAGGCGGAAAAGAGCCGGGAGAGGGAGAAGCCGGGGGAGCCCCGCTTCCTCCGCGCTCACTTTCTGGCAACTCAACCCCAACACCCGCGAACTGCCAACGCCAAATGCCGGCCCGTCCGTCCGTCCGTCCGTCCGCGTCCCCTTTGATTGCGCCCCTCGCGTTCACACGACCCCAATTGGCGTCCCGCGCACACGCATCTTCCGAGCGGGCCCCGTCGCGCCAAAAAGGAAAGGGAAACCACCGTGGGGGGAGCGCTAAGCTGAGAGCGGGGGGGGGGGTTGTAACTCTGTCCCTCCACTTCTTCCGCCAAGCCGCCCCCCGTCCCGTCCCGTCCCGAGAGACTTTCCCAGCCGGGGCCACTTTCCCGGGGCAAAGCCGGCACTGCTCCCCGGGGTCGAGCGGGAGGCAGGCAGGCAGGCTCGGGCGAGAGGGCCCCTCCCCCCGCGCCTGGGGCAAAAGTTGGCCCCCCCGAGAGTGGGGAAGAGCCCGGGCAGAAAAGAGGTCCCGAGCTCCGCTGGGGGGGACGGTCGAAAGGGGCCCCCGTCCTGCCTGGAGGAGGAGACCAGCCCGGCCCTCCGCGGGGAAGGAAGCGGGAGCCCCGCAGCGGGACGAAGGCGGCCGGGGGAGGCGAGGCGGTGGCAGAGGCGCCCCCCACGGGGGTCTTTTCTTCAGGCAGCCCGGGGGGAGGGCGCCCTCCTCAGTCCTCCCTGCCCCTCCGACCCCGCGCTCGCGCCGATACCGCCGCCTCAAAAGGCGGCACCGCGCGCCCCCCCCACGTGGGCCCCGCTGCCCCCCGAAACGGCCCCGGGCGGGGGCGGAGAGCGGCCGTGGAGGGAGGCGGGGGGGGCTCCCAACTGCGCCTTTACCTTTAGTTCCGCACTGTCCGCCATTTTGAATCGTGGGGCGCAAGCGCAGTGAACCCCGCCGGGAGACCGCCTTCCCCGCCCCCGCCCCGCGCCCGGCGTTTGAATCCGCGGCGCGCGCGCGGCAGCCATTTTGTCCGTCCCCCTCCGGGCGGGACGCCGCTGCCCGGGAGGGGGAGCTTCCTCGAGGGCGAGGCGGGACGATGGGGGGGGGGGTGGGGGGGGGGGGGGGAAACCCACCGTCGCCCCCCGGTCCTTGGGGGGGGGGGGGTGACGCCCTTTCGCGCCCCGGTTCTTACCGCGGGGGCATTCACTGGAGAGGATGGCAGGTTCCGTGACGTCACGGCAGCTCAGCCAATGGCCGCAGAGGAGTGCTGTGAGCAATCTGGAGACTGGGCAACCTGATGGTTAAAGGGCTCGTCTGGATGACTGCAGGGGTACCTCAACGACCCCCCCCTCCCCCAAGTATGACAAGCTCTGCATCTGAATGCAGCCGCCTTCTGCCAGGCTTCCCCTCCTAGAAGGAGAACTGCAGGAAACTGGTCCAAGAAGTGGAGAGAAGGACCAGGGGAGACATGATAGCAATGTTCCAATACTTGAGGGGCTGCCACATTGAGGAGGGGATTCACCCACAGTATTTATCAAGGCACCTGAAGGCCAGACAAGGAACAATGGATGGAAACTGAACAAGAGGAGATTCCAACTAGAAATGAGGAATTTCATGACAGGGAGAACAATCAACCCATGGAACAGAAGTTGCCTTCAGAGGATGTGGGGGCTTCATCATTGGAGGCTTTCAAGAAGAGATTGGAGATCTGTCAGAAATGGTGTAGGGTCTCCTGCTTGGGCGATGGGGGGAGGGTTGGACTAGATGACCTACAAGGTCCCTTCCAACTCTGTTAATCTGTTAAAGAAACAGGTTGAGCTGGGTTAGCAGACCTTCTGGGTGGTATGATTTCCCCCACAGCACTGTGGCCAGGAAGAAAAGGAGCAGAGGACTTTCCTTCAGCATCCCTCAGGGAAATTATTTTAATCCAGAGCTGTGTCAAATTTTAATTCAATCGTATTGTGTCATTTCCCCATGCAAGTAGGATTTCTGTGTAATTGCAGTGGTGAATTTTAATTCATTTTTTGGGACCAGCATCAAGATATCTAAAATGGAAATGGAGACCCTCTCCTTGTTCACCAATTGAACTACCACCATCTTCTGGCCTGCCAAGAACATTGCAAATCAAGCTTCTTCATTCCTTTACCTTTTTTAAAAAATAAAGTTTGATTTTAAAAAAAATCTCTTGTAGACGTTTTATTACCAAACTAGGTAACATCATCAGGGCACTCTTTGTTATTTCTCTGTAAATGTGATAAAATAACTAATAGGAACACAGAAGTTTGTCTCATACTACGGTACCTGTAATGTTGGACTCTAGCAGACAGAACATTAAGGTCTCCAGGAACTAAACAAATTATGTATACACCTGTAAAATTGAAGAATTGTTTGTGCACCACTTTGTCTAAAGGATAAATCTAAGATCCAGTTTGGTCTACTAGGAAACAAATAAAACAATATAAATTGTAAAGATACAAGCAACATGGTTATACCCATAAGTAGGAAGAGATAGGTACTAGGAAGGATGAGAAGTCTAATACAGTCTTAGTAAATAATTTGATAGTGTTGAGGGAATTATTTGTTTAGCAGAGTGATGGCGTTTGGGGAAAAACTGTCCTTGTGTCTAGAGTAGTTGTTCTGATGTGCAGTGCCCTATAGTGTCATTTTGAGGGTAGAAGTCGAAACAATTTATGTCCAGGATGTGAGGGGTCTGTAGATATTTTCGCAGCCCTCTTTTTGACTCGTGCAGTATCCAGGTCCTCTATGGAAGGCAGGTTGGTAGCCATTGTTTTTTCTGCAGTTCTAATTCCTCTCTGGAGTCTGTGTCTGTCCTGTTGGGTTGCAAAGCCAAACCAGACAGTTGTAGAGGTGCAGATGACAGACTCAACAATTACAAAAATTACCTAGTTACTAGGATTGCAACCCACTGAATCAACTGAGGTGTTTAAGAAACACATTTACCACTTTTTGCAATATGTAAGATTGTGTTGTAGTCTCACAATTTTCAGTTCAAAGTAGCTCTCCTGTGGCTAGCACAATCCTAGGAGATAGATCAGTTTTCATATTTTTAATAAGTGTTGTAGCCAGTTAGACTTTGGGAAATAATACCGTAGTGATGAGTAAATGTGTTTTCTTACAGATTTTTTTCTTTCTGTTAAATAAAGCTTGGAATATGGATGTCATTTGTATAGTAAATACTAATTACTGTGATGCATTTAATTGTCACAGGTATTATATGTGTTAAATCTTCTTGTGTGGCCTTTCATCTTGACAGCTTAAGCTAGGAGATGACAAGTGAAAAAAGGAACAATTTGACTGAAACCTCCTCTTCCAAAGACTAGAAATATGAGCTTGTAAGAAGGTCCATCTGCCTAAAAAAAAGCATCGAGATTTTACAGCCAAAAAAATGCAAGGCAGCTTAAAAAACAAATTGTAAAGAATAAGCTATCTAGTCACTTTTTAATTGCAATCCCATGCAAGCAAAACGTCTCCAAAGGTTTATTAAGGAATTTGACTAGTCACTGACCATAAACCTCTTTGTTTTATTAGGTTACAATGCACTAATCAATCAACGTATGCTAACATTTATAGCCTCTCTTCCCCATCTCTGTTTGGCAATGTTATTAATATAATAAGAATCTCTATCCTTTAAGAGATGGGAAACATATTAATTTACACATTTTCTTCAAAACAATTCAATGGATTAACTGTAATACAGGAATTTAACCTAATGTGATTGGTTGGTAATTTATGCTTTTCCAGTAATAACATTAAAAGTAAGTACCATTTTCATCCTATATTTACTAGGAAGTAAATCCCTCTTCCCTCCTGAAGTTACTCCATCCAGAAGGATAGCTTCGTTTGCCCTTAATGAAGTTTCCATGAAAGAAAATCCCTCCATCTGGACTGTAACATACAGCTAGAGGAGAGAAGGGTAAGAACCACTCCCTCTATGTAAATTATAACTGCTCCAAGGATGCAAGAATGTCATGCATCTCATATTAGTTTAAGCATGCTGGGGAAGGAGATAGTCACTGCAGGTGGTACGTTGTTGCATGAGCCATAATGCAGATGAGTCCACAGAGTATAAATGTCAGTGTGAAGAAGCCACAGTGGCAGGTTGTCCATAGGAAATGGAGGGGGGGGGGTGTCAAAAAAGTTAAGATAGCAGATGCAGCCACATGTTCAAAGCCTTGCACCTTTTTATGTGCATCCTGCTGTTTGAATGTGGCCGAGAAGAAAGAAGCCAGCTGGACCAGGGAGAATGAAAATTCAAGCCAGCAAGAGATACACTCACTGGTCATAGAGATCTATTACATTTCTCCTCTATATATTCAATTTGATTAGCCATTGTAGGAAACAGGATGCTGAATGTGGCAGTGCTCTTCTAACAAAACCGCATACATCCTGAAGTTGGGCTTGATTGACTCTGTTCACTGCACACAAACCTTCAAACGTCAGAATAATTAAGAATAATCATTTGGCAATTAACTTTTTGTCACTTTCCCCAAGTTTAAAGATAACTTTGCATTCTCGTACGTTTCCCACCCACTCCGGCTGGATGGAGGTATGTTTTGCCATTTTAGAAGGAGAGTTTCACATTTGTTGTGTCAGGAAATGATTACAAACATGAACTTATTAAACCCGAATATTCCTGGTTCATGTTTCCTTTGAAATGCCAACAGAACAGCCAAACATCACAAGATCAGAAAACTGCCGAGGGGGGGTTAGTGAAAGCAATTAATTGAACCATATAATTAAGACTTCCTTTCAATGTGGCTAAGCTTTCTTTTTCCACAACATAAATACTAGTCAGAATCAAGTGTGAATTCATAACTAACCCCTGTTGTTTACTTTGTGGGAGAATTGGTGGGGTGTGAAGTAGATGAGATGAGTACAGTGACAGGTTTCCTCCCATCCGCTGAGACAGAGCAACTCTGGGTTCAGCGAGGGAATCCAAACAAACTTCAAAATTAGTAGTGTCTACAATTACACAAATATAATTTTGGGTAATTACTGCCATATAATTAGCAGTGCTGCCTTTTTAAATCTAGATCTTTCTCTGTTTCAGTTTTTATTGTATTTTCATACATTAGTATGCCTTGCAGAAACATGAGAATGTATATATTTGACAATTTTCAAAGGTTGGGGAGGTTATAAATCAAGCCTCTGGGTCATTGTGTGCTGAATGTGTGTTCTGTGACCAAGAGGAGAAAGTCTGGCTTACACCCAGATACTCTGTGATATTAGTAACTAAACTAATGAAGGCTTAAAATGGATGTTTCCAGCGGCATTTTGCTTGTCTAATCAGTTTTGCTGTAATCAGCTTCTGCTGCTTTAATGGCATCTCGGGCTCTTACGTGATAGATTGGGTCAGCCACAGGACTCTGAGAAGAGGTGAGTCCATAAGTGGATGTTTGTGTAATTAAATGTGAGACAAAGTAGCAAACTGTGATTAGTAGATTTAGAAGCTGCCTTATCAAAGAGCAGAAAGGAGCACTTTCACATAATGTTGTAGGAGCATCAACAGGATGGATCTAAAAACTCAAGATGGCCGAAGCTTGAGATCAAACCTCCTTCCCCTTTTTACATGCATTACAAATCACATAAAAATGGGTGTGGGGATGGCCAAGGCCACCATCTTGATCTTTTTCAAAAACGCCCTTCTACTCCTAGATGCCCCTGCTTTGGTATAGGTGAAGATTCAATTCAGGGTCTGAATTGTTCATCAAGGATTGCCCTTACTGTCGTGTCCGTCGAGAAAGGAAGCTCGGAGTCAGTGACTTGGTTTCAGCTCTTTATTGGCTCCTGATACAGCTTAAGCTTGAAGGGAAAAACTGCGGCTTTTTATTCTCGAGCCGCGGCGGTCGCGGCCAATGACACCGCTTCGAATCTCCCGCGATTAGTTTCCACCAATCGCGGGGGATTCGCAGCGGACCAATCAG